GCTCAGTTTTTCCCAATTTGGTTGTATTTTTTCCCAATTGGTGAACAATGCTTTTATATTTAATTTTCTTGGAAAAACACAGAGTAAAATTATCAGATTGACTGTAATTTTCATCTATTTAACTCATTTAGCAAAGCTACAGTCATATCACATTTAACAACACTGTAAAAACATCGCCAACTTTTTATCCGAATTTCCTCCGTTTTTCTGAAAATATGGTGATATTTTTTAATTGTATAGATTTATTGTTATTTCCACCTACTCAAATGATCTACGAATGAATGGTAAGGACTGTAGGCATAATTTCAGATAGAAAAATATATTTTCAATGTTTCAATACATATTAAAAGAGGATTTTGAGAAAATGCATACTTTAGTATAATTTTTTGCAGGAGGTTTATATTTTCCAGAAACAGATTCTATAATAACCTAAATTGAAATCTCATACACAAATGTACTACCCAAGTTGTATAAATACTTTATACTCATTGAAGTAAATTTTACTTTTATCAGTCTATTATTATAATTAATCTTGTATGATGAAGTTGGATCATATTTAATTGTCTGCTTGGTTGCCCAAATTAGAGTTCATGCTGAAATGTTAAATGAATTACAATTGAATACATGATTTAAGCAACATTTTCAATTTTTCCCAATTTCATCAAAAAACCGACAATTTTTTCCCAACTCCCCCAAAATGGCGTTTCCCAAAATAGGCTGATAAATCCCTGATAGAACCCTTGCCAGAACCAGAACACTTGACCAAATGGTCCAGATGTTCAAAAATCTGGTAAAAAATACCCTTCCTTATTAAAACAATTACTCTTTTTGCCTCTGATATTCCCAGGTGCAGAGAAGATTTTTAAAGAAATAATGGAAGAAGCATCCTTGCATATCATAACAATGTACTTAGTTTGTTTAAATAATACCCAGGGGCAGAGAAGAAGATTTTCAAAGAAATAAATCACCTTCACTATAGGATCTATATAGCCCCACCCTAGCACCAGAACCCCTGTCCCTGGGGCCATGAATTTCACAATTTTGGAAGGGCATCCTTGCTTATCATAACAATGTACTTAGTTTGTTTAAATAATACCCAGGAGCAGAGAAGAAGATTTTCAAAGAATTAATGCATTATCACTATATAATAAATAGAGCCCCACGCTAACACCAGAACCCCTGATCCAGGGGCCATGAAATTCACAATTTTGGAAGTGGCATCATTGCTTATCATAACTATGTATTTAGTTTGTTTAAATAATACCCAATAGTAGACAAGAAGATTTTCAAAGAAATAATGCACTTTCACTATATGATCTATATAGCCCCGTCCTAACACCAGAACCTGACCCTGGGGCCATGAAATTCAAAATTTTGGAAAAGGCATTCTTGCCTCATCATAACTATGTACTTATTTAGTTATTTTAATACCTAGGAGCAGAGAAGAAGATTTTCAAAGAAATAATGCATTTTCACTATGTAATCAATAGAGCCCTACCCTAACACCAGAACCCCTGACCCTGGGGCCATAAAATTCACAATTTTAGATAAGGCACTCTTGCTCTTCATAACTATGTACTTAATTAGTTTATTTAATACCCAGGAGCAGAGAAGAAGATTTTCAAAGAAATAATGCATTTTCACTATATAATCAATAGAGCCCCGCCCTAACACCTGAACCCCTAACCCTGGGGCCATGAAATTCACAATTTTGGAAAAGGCATACTTGCTCATCATAACTATGTACTTAGTTTGTTTATTTAATACCAAGGAGCAGAGAAGAAAATTTTGAAAGAAATAATGTATTTTCACTATATAATCAATAGAGCCCCATCCTAACACCAGAACCCCTGACCCTGGGGCCATGAAATTCACAATTTTGGATAAGGCACTCTTGCTCTTCATAACTATGTACTTAATTACTTTATTTAATTCCCAGGAGCAGAGAAGAAGATTTTCAAAGAAATAATGCACTTTCACTATATGATCTATATATAGCCCCACCCTAGCACCAGAACCCCTGACCCTGGGGCCATGAATTTCACAATTTAGGTAGAAGGTTCAATGCTTATTACAATCATGCCAACAGTTTGACTGCTTGATGTCCAGGAGTAAAGAAGAAGATTTTTTAAGATTGCATTAATTTTGGTGGTTTTAGCCCCACCCCTCAGGCCCCAGGGGGGCAAGGACCATGAAATTCAAAATTTTTGTTCCCCTTCACCCATAGATGCTATATGCCAAATTTGGTTGAAATTGGTTGAGCGGTTTCAGAGAAGAAGCTGAAAATGTTCAAATGTTAATGCACATCGCATGACGACGGACAAAAACGGATAGCAATAGGTCAACTGAGTGACTCAGGTGACCAAAAAAAAAAAAAAAGAAAGATAAAAGAAATGGGGGAGGGGAGGGGGAGAGTATATCCCCAGCTCACACCTGCAGTGCACTACAGTCATGCATACTGGATATTTCAAGATATATAAAACACAATCTTGTTGCTGTATCACAGGCAGGTGTGAGCCTCTGTCTTAGATGGGTGAATTAAAAAAAAATGACCACCAAACTGAAATTTTTTGGAAAAATTCAACTACGTACAACATATTTTTCACTTATATCATCTTACTGCACATGCATTCCAGTTTAAAATCCTGAAGTGGCAATAGAATACACAATTGGATTAAAAAGTTTCAGAATTTTTATTAGTAAAATTTCTTTTGAAAAAAGAAAATATCATTACACCTTAAAAGACTTTCTAAAATACATAATCACAAGAAATTGTAGTTTTTTATGCTTCAAAATGGTAAAAAGGGTATAAATGATTAAATCTAGACCTTGATTGAGTATCTTCTCTTGTATATGTGACCAAAATTTCTATTCTGGTTTGAAAAGTTTTAATATGAAAAAAAATATGAAGTAATAAAATTCCCCAAAATTTACTTTTTTGTCCATTCAAGTCAGTTCTTTAAATCTAAGCCAAAAAAGAATTTTTATATACGAGTTCTCTTACAAAAAATACTAGATTTTGAAGTGACCGTATGTTACACTATTCTGTTGCACTCCTAACATCTGATATGAATTTTATTTAACATTGTTTTAAAAATTATAACACACAATAACCCATTCTTACTTTGATAATCAATTTGTCGTTTTGATATTTTTCATCGTTTACGACAGGTTTTTCATATTTTGAAGACCTTAACACATGATTATGTGCAAAGTATAATGTATATAAATTGTATTTATAAAAATATATGTGAAATGATGAAAACTATTCCCTGAACTGACTGTAAAGTTTCTGTAATTTGTTGATAGACATAGTGTTTTGAACATCAAATAGTATCAAACATTTTTTTTCAACTTATTTTTTAGCGAAGATAGTTAAAAAGCATTGGTAATTATAAAGCAGTAACTGTTTTGTTGCACTCCTTACTGCAGTAAAATTTAAAATCAAAACCACAGAACACAAAAATTCATAATGTGTTGGCAACATCAAGTGGTAATGAAATTGTGCAATATTTATAGTCCAATACTTCATAATTAAACAGATGAAAGTATTTAAATTCACATTTTATCTGGAATTATTCCCTATTTATGCCAAAGACACTAGCTTAAATGTGTATTTAGAAGATAAAATATATATTATAGCATATTTTCCTTTAGAGGACAAACACAGTAACCCACCAGAAAAATTCTACTCATCATTTTTTCTTTATTTTTATTCTTATTGGATGATTTATAATTCTAACATATTTGTTGCACTCCTGACCAAAAGCATAGGGACCTTTAAAGTAGAATTGTGAAGTGAAAATTACATAAGAACTTGTTCTGTTGTTTCAGTGAAGTTGAGGAGGAATTACTTGAATTTTACAACAATTTTTAATGTGTTTATTTTCAATGTTCATTAAAAAAATCACAAAAAAGATAAAAACACATCTGAATTGATAAAATTGAAAAAGGATGGATTTTAATAAAAAAACTGTCAATAATTTAGTATTAAATTATACAAAAAGATCATTATTAATTAATGAATACTTCTAAGCATGAATAGAAGTGTTTTCGTCACACAACTTGAATCTTTAAAAAAAATGTGTTGCACTCCTGACCATAGAAATATAGATCTGAAGCACAGCCAGATCCTGTAATTAATAAATCTATTTGGTTAAAATGTTCTTTGTGTCTTTATTTTCCAAAATAAATATCAGAAAATCATATAATGATAATAGTTTTTTCGAGCTTGGGAGCAAAACATCAAATGTTGCACTCCTGACATTATTGGGTATGCACATATACTTGACTCTCATTAATGCTGCTTGTGATTTATATAACATTTTTATAAGTTTGAAAATGTATATCAGTTATTGTTTTACACTTTGAAAAATTTTTTTGTCTTAATTTTCTTTCAGAATTTTATAAATGATGTTTTTTTGGCAACACTACATGTCTTCTGTTGCACTCCTGACATGGTACGACATTTTTTTAAACATCAGCCATGACCACAACTTGATTAAACAAAAGTTACTATAGTCCACATTTAAAGCTCAATACTTGAATATTATCAGGATAGTCTTTATTTTCAACATAAAGCATTATTGTTTATTTCACCATGTTCACAGATCTCCAAAAAATATTGAAATTTCAAAATGTCACAAAAAGGTGTTGCACTCCTGACAATTTTGGCATCATTTTTGGGCATATCTTTTTCGTTAATTGAGATATCAACGAGATATTTGGCAGGTATTTAGACACTATCTAAAGACATATGCTGAGACATAGAAATCTATTTTCATTGCCTGTATTTTAAGTGTGGGTTGATAAATATGCGTTTGGTCATTTTTTTTTAATTCACCCAGATAGAACATGTCTACCAATCAAGATAAAGAGTTATGCTAGTAAGAAGCTGTATGTCAAACACTACCATATTAATTATTTCACTTAATTTTACATAATTCCATTGCTTTCTTCTATATTTTCATTTCACTTATGAGTTCATTAATCTTTTCTAGGTAAATAGCTTCCTTAGTTTTCCCAATGGACCCGCAGTTCAGTGCACAAGATGTCCTGCGCTGTGATCTGTGTGAGACTCCTGTTCCTCCAATGTACTGTGACTTTTGTCATGTCAAACTCTGTAAAGCCTGTGTAGGGGAGCATCTCTCTGATTTATCCAAAGAACATAAAGTGGTGCCATTCAAACAAAAAGGAACCACACCCAAATGTCCAAATCATGTTGGAAAATTTTGTGAACTTTACTGTAAGGAATGTGGCTTTCCTGTTTGTTCACGCTGTCTTTCATCCAACTTCCACAAAGGACATACTTTATTGAATTTACTGGAGATAATGAAATCCAAAAAAGAAGCCATAGAAAAAGATGTTGACAAATTATCTAATTCAGTAGGCCCTAAATATGAAGAAATTTCCAGAGAGATAGAGAGAGGAAAAACAAACCTAGAAAAGCAATACAAGAAACTGACAACAGCTGTCACCAAACAAGGAGAAAACTGGCACAGAGAAATTGACATCATTGTCAACCAAAAAAAATCTGAAATTGATGAGATGAAAACTCAACACCTGACCATTTTAAATAAACAGGAAAATGAAATCAAACACAAAATTTCTGAAGTAAAACAGTGCATACTTGATCTGAAAAAAATACTAGACTCCAATGATGTCTTCCTAACCTCTGTGTACAGATCTCGGTATACTGAATTCAAAAAATTACCTCCTAAAGTCAATGTTTCATTACCAAGTTTCTCTTCTCAGAAAATCAACATGGAACAGCTCAATCAAATGTTTGGTTCTCTGTCAGCTTTATCCATTACAAAAGAACATGGCTACACAATAAAGACACAAGAAGCTGCATCCTGTCCTCCAGTCAAACCACTGCTTGATGAACCAGAACTCATCACCACCATAGACACTGGGTATAAATATCAATACAGTGTTACTTGTCTCAGTGATGAAGAAATCTGGATAAGTGGAGATGACAAAGTAATGAAACTTTACAACCTCTGGGGCAAACTACTGAAGTCAATCCAAACTAAGTCTGGGAACAGACCATGGGACATAGCAGTGACAAGGAGTGGAGATTTAGTTTATACTGACCCTGATACAAGAACTGTAAACGTAGTGAAGAATAAACAGATACAGGAAGTGATCAGACTACAGGGATGGAAACCTTACCATGTCTGTAGTACCTCCTCTGGGGACCTCCTGATTTCCATGTACAGTGATGATTATGAACAATCAAAAGTTGTCCGTTACTCTGGCTCCACAGAAAAACAAACCATTCAGACTGATAGTAAAGGTAAACCTCTGTATTCATCTGAAGACATTAAATACATCAGTGAGAATGGAAACCTAGATATCTGTGTTGCTGACCATGGAGCCCATGCAGTAGTGGTGGTTAATAAGGAAGGAAAATTTCGATTTAGATACACTGGTCATCGCTCTACACCAGGTGGATCATTCTATCCATATGGCATCACAACTGACAGCCAGAGTCAGATCCTGACAGCAGACTGGAACTGGAACTACCACTGTATCCACATCATAGATCAGGATGGACAGTTCCTCCGTTACTTTGATAACTGTAATCTAAAGTGTCCATGGGCTTTATGTGTGGACATCAATAACGACCTCTTCGTGGCTGGGCGTTTCAGTGGTAAAGTGAAGAAAATCAAATATATGTAAACAATATTTTATTTACAGGAAGTTTTTGTGATGGAGATATGATCCTTGTAAACAGAGTTTATAAACATCTTTTTAAAAATATTTTTCAAAACTGGAAAAATAAAAGTTGAATCAACACATCTAAATCAAAATATTGTCTTATCAATAATTAATGATAGGACAAATATTATAATTATTGTAAATGACCTCACAGTATACTTCTGATTCATCCAACCTAAAAATTCTTAAATTTTGGCCTAAAAATTAACCATTCACCCTTTATGGAACCTCTATACACTGATGAAAAAAGTTTTTTTTTTGGACTTTGGGAATATTGTAAAGTGTAAAAGGGCATATAATTTTTTTCAGTTTTATTATCTACATAGGGTGCATGCTTTTTTTACCCAAGAAATACCTTCATGACAATGAAGTACTTCTACAAAAAATCATGTCTGCTTACTTGAATGGGAAAAAATACATGTACATGCATTTCAATCACTTTACCTTGGTCTAATACAATATTTAGAATACTTGAATTAATTATGAATTATGTAAATAGCCTGGTATCTCATGGATTTGTGGTACTTACCGATTCGTAATTAAATTTATTCAATTAACAAAATCTTCAGCTTATTTTCATTATGATTTAATGTGAATAGGGTCTTCTCTTTTCTTAGGTTAAAAATTGTGTATTTTTATCGCTAATCTTTGTCAAAATTCACCTTAAAATGTTTGACGGTTTCACCAGTAAGGAAAAATCAAGCATCTCATTGATTCGTGGTACGTCATCAAAATTTTTATGGCGGCTATTTCGGACATAATTGTTTCATCAAAAATAAAACTATTGACAAAAATTGTTATATTATTTGATAGAATAAGGACTTTTATTATTTTCAAATAACTTTGTTGCATATATGCAACAAAAACAATCATAACTTAAACAAATAACAAAAATAATTAATAGTGATAATCAAAGTTATACAATGCTAAATATTAAATTCAATGTTTGTAAAATAAATCAATAAAACATAATAAGTAAAATAGTAATCATCAATGGTAACTGAATTTGATTTTTCAAATTACTGGCAGTTTTGCAGTGCGGGCAACTGAATGTGCTTTAGGCTTCCAGAACTGTAACATCTACAGGTACAAAATTTAAAATGAGTCCAACGGGGACAGAAGTCAACTTTCCCCACTGGATACACAAAATACCAGTGAAGATTTGCTTTATCATACTGATATCTTTTCCTCTCAAAAGAAAATATCAAAACTAATTTATAAAGGGTAACAAAATTTAAAAAATATTATAAAGCCATTTTTAATAATTTTAACAGTGATATATAATCAGTTACTTCCTTCAATAGTCCACATTATCAATAAATTGTCTGCTTATAATTTTTCAATATAGTTGAACAAATATCAATTATTCATAAAGTTAAAATTGAATTTGTCTTTTATTAATTTATGCTGCAAAAAGAGAACTGACTTACTTACATTCCTACGGCAAATATCTTATAATTTTTAAAGCACTTGTTATTTGGCTGATTATTATGATAAAAAAAAAATACTGATTTATTGACTGTTGCTACGCTGGAGGGCGTGGCTTCGTCATTCATCGGGGTAATAGTGTTTTTTAACAATAAACGAATCAGATTCAACTAATTTACATTAAAGTATAATATTTCAATATACAAGCATGTAGTGTATTGAAAGATTGAATTACCACTGGTACAAGTTGGGCAGCATTCTCCTGGTCGTGTGATGGGATTCTGACAAAAGACGTCAGGACAGGCAGTCTTACTGCACTGCACATCACCATGGCGACAGGCACATCGGGTACAGGCATCCAAGTCAAACTGGCTTCCATCCTCATATCTCCGGCCATTGTAGTAGCATGCTGCAACAAAAGTTTTTCAATTGTTATATCTTACGTTTCAAGTTCTAGCAATGAGCTCTCATCTATAAGTTTCAAATCTTAATCCAAAGTGGCAGAATCACATTAAACACTGTAACTACAAGTACACATATAACAAGAGAAAAAATGTGCTGTTTAAAGAAATATCATTTTGTTATACATTTTCTTATCATCAAGCATTCATTACATTTGTGTTAATGATGTACATTTATCATCAATGTACAAGTTTAAATTCAGACAAGATAGTTGAAGTTAAAATTCAGAGATGAAAAATTAAATAAACAGAGAAAACCTACAGACACATGTGGGGCAGCATTCCCCAGGTGGGGTATACGGGTATCTACAGTCTGGGTAACCACACTGAATCTCTGAGCACTTCACTTCACGATTCTACAAAATAAAGCATCCATGGAAAGCCAACTTTACCTGTGCTGGATTCTTAAGCATAAATTATTTCCTAACTTTTGTTTCAAATTTGCTCTAAGTAAAAATATAACTGCCTTAGAGAATCTCTTTCCTTCTCCTTGTGTTTTAAAATCAATCTTTGCTCTGGTGGAAACATGACAAGTCAATAACACTGTTAACTTACAACTACACTTTTGACATGGTCCCTGCATCCACATTGAGGCATTGGCATCCATGGAAAGCCAACTTTACCTGTGCTGGATTCTTAAGCATAAATTATTTCCTAACTTTTGTTTCAAATTTGCTCTAAGTAAAAATATAACTGCCTTAGAGAATCTCTTTCCTTCTCCTTGTGTTTTAAAATCAATCTTTGCTCTGGTGGAAACATGACAAGTCAATAACACTGTTAACTTACAATACAACTACACTTTTGACATGGTCCCTGCATCCACATTGAGGCATTGGCATAATTCCCACAGTCCATACAGGTAGGACAACAGTCCCCAGGCAGGGTCATACTGCTCTTACACTTGCCCAGGGCTGGACAGGGGCGTTGCCGACAGCTGACATCACCACGGTTACATATGCATTCACTGCAGGGGGAGGAGTCAGGTGAAAATGTGACCCCAGGTTCATAAATTCTACCCTCAAACTGACATCCACCTGTCAATACACGAATACATTTAAAATATTCTCATTACAGAATTTTCAAACATTTTTCAATAAAATTATTCTTATTAATTTAATCCCCCCCCCTTACTTGTACTTATATATGCTATATGATACTTATATATGATCCCAATCAGTCTCCCAGTGGACAACTGAAGCTGAACACAATTGGTAAAAAGACATATGTCATATTAGTTTTCCTATCTCCTAAACAGCATATGGTATTAATACGCTTCCCCTGATTGTACACCTGGAACTCATGGTCGGCATGTAGTATTTGTTATGTATCTTAGTGTTACACTTTATTTCGCTGTTTTATGTGCATTTTGTACTTGTTTTTAATGAACTGACCTGTGCAATCATTGTTACTTTTCTCCTGACATGGTATAAGTACATACATTTAAAAAATACATCGCGACATAGTAACAATGGCGATGTTAAGATGAGGTCTGTACAGTGAAATACTTCAAACTATAAGAAATCAAAGGCTTATATATAGGGGCTCAAGGTAAAAGACGCAAACAGAGACAAGGAGAAATCTCTTCCTTACGAGTTGTGTTCAGCTTTCATGAAAAAACAAACACCTTGAAACAAGCAAAACATATCACTGTTTCAATGTATATGCCTATCAAATCCAGTAAATGTTCAATATTTTTTCTATTCAACATGTTCAACAATGGTTTACCTTCACAGGAAGCACAGCATTGGCCTGGGATTTGGACTGGGTTTCTACACGTAACTGCTGGACACAGAGTAGTGGAGCACTGCACCATGCCATCCTACATTATAATCATATAATATACTTAACCAAAACTGTCTAGTTAACAGAAAATTCAGCTTTATTTTCAATTTTACTCCACTTACTGGATTCAATGATAGTACAGTGTACACTGATTAATAACTCCAGATCTGATATTTAAACTTGTTCATTTTTGTTTTCTTTTTATACGGAATTTAAACTGCACACTTTGTAATACAGTCAAACCTTGCTATTTTGAACTCTATAAGGCCAGAAAACTTCTGAATCAATATATTCCAGGATTTGAGATACTGAGGTTAGAAAACATACATATTAGAATGACATGTGTGTGGTATTTGAGATATTGATGTTTTACTGTATTTAGTGTTGCTGACCTGACAACTGCAGACATCACACTTGGACTTTCTCCAAGTGGCGCCCTCTGGTTCTTCTCTACCGTCCCCCGTCACACAACCTGAAATAAAATTTAACAGTTGTGTGAATCAGATGGTGGACAAAAGATTACATAATTATCCTGTATGATTTTCTATTAAACAATATTCTTCTGACATCTTACCTGAGCAAACAACAGGTGCCCCTGTGACTCCATTATACCATTCAATAGAGCAGTCTCCACATGTGTTGATTCTACATACAGCATCTGGGATACCTACAGCATACAAGAGCACACATACTTAATTTATACCTAGTACACATGTACGCATGGATATCCTTACACCTGAGTCATTACAGAACTTAACATGTTAAAAAGTAATGCAGGAAAATTCTATGTTCATAATTACTACTAAAAACAAAATGTATAGTACAAATGCATCTTTCTTTTGAATCCTAAAGAAGCTAAGAATGAGGCAAATGTGAAGCCCCAAAACCTTCACTATAAGTAATGCCTTACCTGGACACCTCCTTTGTCTACACAGTTCTGGTCTACAGGTGACTGGGAACTGTCCAAACGGACAACCACTGAAGTAATTAGTCACAAAACACAACCTGTCAATCAATGGAAATCATACTGAATGTTAGATGCATAAAATAATCAAGAAAATTTAATTAAGTCATACACTTTGTATTGCGTCATTGACAAGATCTAAGTCCAATCAACCTAACATTAATACACAGAAACAAAGCTGTACGTTTAATGTTGTACCTTTGATCAGGAGGAACAGGAAGCCATACATTGTGTTCTGTAACACTGGACGACCTTGGTATGAAGGTCGGGTCATATCTATGGTCTTCTCTCAGCTGTTTCTCCAATCTTTTGATTATTATCACTTGATCCCCACGATTTAACCAGTTTACTGTATACATCCAGGTTGGCATGAAGGTCACATACGGACAGAGGCGATAGATATCTAGTATTGGAGTTTTATCTAGCTTTTCCAGCTCTAGTTCCACCCAGCGCTTGATCACCATGTATACAGGCCCAAGGTAGAAGTTATTGCAGAAATATCTATCAAGGCCTCGAGAGTCAAACCCAAAAACATCATAACCCTCTCTATCATAGCCATACTTGTTAAATCCAAAAATGTTGTAACCAAACTTGTTTATGACCGTTTTATCAGCATCTGGATTCCAGGTTCCATTCCTGTTGAATCCATATGGGGTGACTCCATTGATGTTAAATCCATACCTGTCATAGCCCCATCGGTCATAACCTTTACTGTCAAATCCATCAAGGTTATACATATCTATGTAGAATCCATATCGATCAAATCCAGTGACATCAAATCCCTGTCTATTGAATCCACCTCTGTCGTATCCATGTATGTTGAAGATACCCCTTGAATCCTTAGTCCCATTCCTATCAAATCCATCAATATTGAATCCGTCTTTATCGTAACCCTCTCTGTCCAAGCCATGTCTATCAAAACCCTCAGCATCATAACCATACCTGGGCAAAGTTATATTACAAAGAGTGGTGAAAGTCAAGGGGACGTAATTCACACACATCTGAATGGATGAATACATCACATCATCTGGGGTAAGTTTAAATGGTGCCATGGGTTTGTATCTCAGTTTGACTGGATAGCTAGCTGTCCAGTCAGAATGCTTCTTCTGCCACAGAGTCCACAGTTTATCAATGTAAGCCACTGTTGAGAAGAAAACTGGGTCATATGGACTCAAATCAGAGTACATATGCCCTCCAACATAGCTCTGTACAGCTGTGAGCATTATCTCCATTTGTAGTCTGAAGTTGGTGAATGATGGATCATTCATGGCAAGCTGAACATTGATGGCATCAGGGAAAGTCACACTGTTGTTGAACTGTCGCCTCAGACATGGTATCCAGTAAGGAGGGAAGTAATCCTTGAAATTATGATAAGGGACACACCCACTCTGTCCCTCCCCATTTCCTCCAAACACAACTGTGGACCAGATAACAGACTTGTGGGGTTCTCCGGCATCAATCGTCCAATCATAATATGGAATAGAAATGTCACAGTTGATGTTCTGAAGATGCTGTTCTATATATTTGAGATACGCTCTGTGCCACGGTAGAAACTGGTCAGATCCCACTGCCTGAGGTTTGTGTTTCTGATACATCTCAGCAAACTGATACCACAGCGATGGCTCATGACCTGTACTGGTGGCTAGTCTCTTGATTCCTTCGAAAAGATAATTTCCATTATTCATTCATTTCAGTAACTTTATCATTATGTAGCTTGCTGGTCTGAAAAAATTGGGATGGACGACCAGAGAGCTACAGAGCCATGCATTGAAAAATGTGCATATTTATTGTGAACCAAAAGATGCACTCTCTCTTGATTTATTTCTCTGTATATTTAAGCTGTCATCTCAAAGTATATCTAACTTTGTGTTCCCCACATATTTTTAACATAATATTTTGAGATGGCAGCTTAAAAATATACTGCAATAAATCCAAAACAGCACCCTTTTTTGTGCACAGTAAATATATACACGTTTCAATAGATGGCACAGTAACTCTCTGATCGTTCAACCCAATTTTTTCAGACCAGCAAGCTATAGCTCTATAGCTTATAATTCATATGTTCTCAAATATCTTAAACTAAATAAAATATAGTCATTAATTTTTCTACAAAATCTATTTGGAGTACCAAGCTGATAGAGTTCCAGTTCCTCCTTGGTCAGGTCTCGGATTTCCTTCCTCCTGAAGTTCCGTCTCATACACCGACACTCTATGGTACCACGGATTGTACAGGTGCATGTCTGACAGCCCAGACGGAACTCGTCACCAAAACTGTATGTGTTGTTTCTGTACGTACAGCCACATCTCTCACCACAGCTGACTTCCGAGCATCGCTTCCCTTGCTGGAACTGGATGACCTCAATGTCAGAGTTCTGTTCCAGATTCTGACACTGGATCAGAGACATTGGTCGACACTTATAATCATAACCAGTGGACATTCCATAGTAATCCAAACCACGTCTGTTGTAACCATGGCAATTCATACCCGCCCTGAAAAAGGATATTGAGGGATTATTTGAGATTGATGTAATTTTTCTTTACAATCAACACCTGCTGAATTCCTTTCTTTCAAAACAACAGAAATCTTTCAATGAATTAAGGAAAATGCCCTTGAGAATTAATTCGGGTCATCAAACCAACAAAATTAATTGCCTAACATGGTTGGCCATTCAATCAGTATTACTTCATACATTTAAAAAATGTGAGCTGAAACTTCTAACACTTTTATCAAATATGTATATTCAATTCTCAATGCTTTTTATAAAGAAAATGTATACGTGCATGCTTTTCAACATCTTAGGCAAAGTCTCAATAACATTCAAAACTAATAAACACATACCTGTTAAATCCCTCAACATTATATTCATCTTTATTATACTCTAGTATCCCATCAAATTCCCCAATCTTATTGTATCCCTGGATATTGAACCCCTCTCTGTCATATCCCTCACTGTTAAATCCAAGTCTGTCATATCCATCCTTGTCATATCCAAACACATCATATCCTACAAAACAATGACTAATGTAGCAGTAATACGTCATTTCTTATTTATAATGAAAAACACACATACACACATTCACTCAGTGGCAGAGCACTAAACAACATGCTCACTATTCCGAGTTTCTAGTTCAAAGCAATTCAAGTAACACTGGAACCTCTATGAAATACGAAATATTTTACAATGATCAGAATTTTAGTCCACAATATACTAAGCCTTACCCTCCCAGTCAAATCCTTTGCTGTTATATCTCTCTGAGCCAAAAGGTGTGGTATTGTTGAGGTTTCTTGTTGTGCCTCTACGACTGTTCCCAGATACATCAAATCCATACCTGTGTAAAGAGAATGTCAAGATAACTCTCATATCAATAAATATCATACATTTTCTGTGAAATTTTTAAGAAAAAAAAACTACTGTATGTGAACAATTTAAATGTGAAACAAAAGTACATTAGTATAATTTTTCACAAAATTAGTAATACAGTAAAACTTGAATAATCCGGACACCACTGATTCCAAAAAATTTGGCTGGACTAGACAACATTCCCGATTAGACAACATTTTAAACAAATGAATTTACTGAAAAGGACTTAAATTTTACATCATATTAAGCAAGATTTTGGATTACACAACATCCAGATTAGACAAGTTTCACTGTATTATTATCTTGTATAGGTATACCTATCATAGTTATCAAGGTTGTAGCCCACAATTCTATTTCTGAACAGTGGTTTTCTGTGGCAGCATGCTCCTATCACACAGCGAGACTGACACACCTCCTCTGTCAGGAAGTGGTTAGAATTTCCTCCACAGCCCGAGTAAATAAACGACTCACAATTCTGAGTCTGGTGATTATAAAACCATCTGGTCTGTCTCTCATTGCAATTACCTAGCAACAGAAAATATTCAAATACACATCAAAGGCTGTTATTCATAAATGTTCTATAAATATTTCTTTTCAAAACAATGCTGAAAAACAAACAGGTGCTCAAAGGGAAAGCAACTGAATTTACAAAATACAATTTTGCAAATGAACAATCAACAATTTACATATAAAGCAGTTACCATTTCCCACACAAAAAAAAAAATTCTGCAAACATTTATTCCTAAGGAATTATAGTTCAGGAAAGTGAGATTTAAGATTCATGACCTACCTGTACTTAGTGGTAGACTGCACACCTCGATAGCTGTGTACTGACAAAGATGACCATCAAATCCTGGGGGGCACATGCAGGTCACTAATTGGGGTTCTGTGGGCCAGATACTCTTTTGACAGGTTCCTCCATTCATACATGGGTTTGGATCACAGAAGTCTACAATGTACACAAATATTCAGATCATCTACCAATAACTTATAATTAAGGCCAGATTTTGGTATGGTAAAAACTTCAACCAACTGGTACCTAATACTTAGCAGTAAAACTTTAAATTTTTTAAATTTTTAATTCTTAAAACTGGCAATGATGCAAATGGATCTGATTCTGATTTATTTAGAACCTAAATTTTAGTTTGTTCAGTACCTCTATCCTCCAAGCAATCCACCTGTTGATTGTTATAGTACCAGGTAGATTTACACTCGGAGCAGAAATCTACGTGACAGATGGCCTCGGGGTACGAGGGACAAACATCTGTGAGACAAGGATTCTCTGTACAGCTCGTAATGGATGTCTCACAGGTACAGGGTGTTAGGTACGGGGTGGTCTCAAAACAGAAGCGAGAGGACGGAATACTGAGGGAGGTCTCTGGAGTGATACTTGGGACAAGTCCTGCAAAATGTGATAGAAATACTTGATGTTTAAGTTTATACATCATGTGTTTCCAAATGAATTGACAAATAGCTGCAAAGTCTGTTGCAAAGAAAACTAGTTCTTTACAGAAAATAGAATCATCCTTTACCAACTGAATTTACCTATAACTAGTAAAAAGCATGCAGATTTGATACAGCAAGATTTGATCCTGAGTAAGACTATCATATAGTTTGGAGAGGAACTTCATTATTTATGTTAATCACATACATTACAATGTAAAATATACAAACTTATTTTTGAATAATTTCTTAAAAAAACCACAAAGTTATGTATGTATACCTGAGACATCTTTGAAACTAGAGGCCCAGAACTGCTTGCTCCAGCTGAGGGGGACAGGATCCAGGGCGGGGCAGAGTCTGTAGACGGACATTAAGAAGCCTTTGTCCTGCAGGGATAACAGCTCCCAGATCTTCAGGGAGTGGAGAACATCAAAAGGACCATTAAACAAGAAGTTACAGTCATCTTTGTCATAACCAGCAGGGGTAAACCCATACTTATCAAATCCATACTTAGTCAGACCTGAAAACAAAAGTTAAGTTGTACTAACAAGTTGTATCTAAACAGAATACAATTCCTAAAGACCACTATCACCTTTGACCATTTTGCTTTCACTTCACATGAAAATGAATTCACTCAGTTCATTCTGGTCAAAGATCTAATGATTTGTAGAGGGTAAAAATTTATGATTAAGCTTTAATTTATATATAGAAACAAGTAAAAGTTTGTATTTCCTTTACAATATATCTTGTGATGATTTGCTACCTTGTATATTAAGACATTGGTCATCAAATCCATTCTGGTCATAGATCCCTTGGGTGTCCCTTTTCCCTCCTCTGTCGTACCCAGTCCTGTTGAACCCCCATCTGTTGTAACCCTCCTTATTGTATCCATAGCGATTGTAACCGTCCAGATCATATCCATCTTTGTCAAAGCCATCTCTGTTCAGTCCTGACACAGGATAATATAAAAGCATGGTACTGTTTTAAATAAATTGAATACATTTCAGTTTTTGAGATGATCTTTAAATCATCAATTAAACTTGAGTATGTGTGACTTCATAATGACCACAAAAAAGCATTGTATTCATTTGCAGGACAACATTTTGGTTTCATTAAGGTTCCTTCCCTTTATTATCTTTGTGTAGATACTAATCACTTGAGATTACTGATTAATAAAAATATTGTGAAGAAAATGTAATTTACAATGTAAAACAGGAAATTTCAAACATTCATCCTATATAACTGGAACCCCCCCCCCCCCCAAAAATCATTTTGAGATATAGTATGAATAATTTCCTAATATTTCACCGACCAAATTGTAGATACTCATAAAATTACAAAGTACAATGTAATTACCATTTTTCTTGTAGCCGTAGAGATCATAACCATTCCTGTCAAATCCACTGACATAGCCTGAATAGTTTATCACCGCCACTTTACTGCTCGGGGTGTCCCCTCTGTCTCCTCCCCTGATGTCGGTACTGGCATTGCAAGGGTGACCAAGAGAGGGAGGGGCATAGGTCACACAGAGGTCAGCCTCAAGGTCAAGCACACTACTGGGTGGAATGTTGAAGGGCACCATTGGTATGTTGCCAAATGCTGCCGGGTACTTGAATTTATTATTACCTCTCTGCTGCCATCTCCAGTAAAGCATATCAATGAAAGAGTGAATCGCAAAGAAAACTGGATCATAGGGGCCACCTGTTGTGGCCATGTCTCCACCAACGTAACGGTGAATGTAACTGATATAACTCTCCACACACATGCTCATTTCTGTGTAGTCATCACTTGCCAGGGCCAGGGCTAACTCAGCCATGGTGGGGAGCTGTATCGTGGTGTGAAAATTCCTCATAATACAAGGCTGCCAACTACCAGGGCTTCCAAAACTGTGGTCAAGCACACAATGACTCAGTCCAGAGCCATCCCCACCAAAGTAGTTCGGCTGCCAGATGATCGCCTCAGCAAAATTACCAACATCGGTGGTGAAATCAAAGTAAGGCAGTGTTATAGCACAGTCTATCTTCTGTAGTTTCTTCTCCACTTCTCTCAGGAACACTCTATGCCAGGGTAAGAAGTATGGGCCTCCATTGGCATGCATGCCATGAGCCATGTACATGTCACGTAATTTCTCCCACTGGTTATCTTCTAGCCTTAATTGCTGAATGGCTGCTTGAAATCGAGATATTTCTGCTGTTGTCATGTCTCTGACATCTTTCCTCTTGCTGACAGAATCACACCTGCAATTGAAGTGAGTCATATTTTGCAGTTCACCTTATTCTAACCATACTATAACGTTTCAAAAAATTACATTTTTGAAAACAAAGCTAATGCAGTCTGAGGTATCTTTACAGAAAGGGATTAAAATTATTTTTGCTGGGCTACATTTGTCACCCTTGAAAATTTTGGTTTAAAATTCTCTAAAACTATATGTCATTTTTAAATACATACTGGCATGTCCATCGTTCATCGATTTCACAGGTACACTTCTGGCATCCCTGGTACGTGATGGCCCCGGGTTGGTAGGAGGTACCATCGTAGACACACCCACTCTGGGTGTTTATACAGCCTGCCTTCTCACAGCTAAGACTTGGGTAGAAGGCCACTACCTCCTTTGTGTAGCGTTTCCTCTTCTGATTGTGGATGGATTTACAGTCCTTCAGGAACATCACCTACAGTGTGAAGAAAAACTTCATTACAACAAGTGTTTATGATTTTATCCTTTCCGTTGGTATAGAGCTTAATTTATTAGATACTGTACTACTGAACGTGACATTACCCGACATTTGGATTCCTTCATTTGGTTTCCAGAAATAAGGGCTTTCTCGTCAGCTTTAAACCTGCGGAAACAACAAGCACCTGTCATGGCGACTTCACGACATGCCTCAAAACTTTCATAGTTATTAACATTTCCACCACAACCTGGAAGAAATGTGCAGGATTTGATTGAGCTGTTCATCCACATTTGATATAGCATTAATAGACACAGTTTACATATGATAAATTCTTGAATCTTATATGTTGGACAAGAAACTGATTTACCAAGATCACTTAAATCATTTCTTCATTGAAAAGTAAAACAATTATAAACAATCAAACTTGCTTCATATTAGCATCAATGCTATGATCTTATAAATTTGGTTCCCAGAATACAAAAATATCCCAAATTACTTCCATTAGCAGCAACTGAAACACATAATTTCTTCCTTTATATTTTCCGAAGTGACGAAATCATAAGAAAGCCATAAAGATCTCTGGTACTAATCATTCATATTACCATTAGCTTATTCCCTTTCACCAAAAGATGATATTGCCATGTGGTACCTTAGCAACTAGTTCTGTATTACTAAGAGATGATGTTGCTTTGTGATACCTGTAAAGTTGAAGGGTAGACATTCCTCCTCAAACCTATCATAATAATATCTGACAACAGTCATGTTACAAAGCCCAGGTTCCACGGGCCACACACAGGGGTTCTGTCTGGTCTCACAAAGGGGGCCATCATAAGGGGGCTGGCACATACAGTGGTAACCCGAGGGGTCGGGACTGGCATCCACGCAGTATCCATTGTTCTGGCAGGGTGAGGTCTCACAGGGGGCTACAATGTTTATAAAATCATTGTTTTATAATCTCCATCTAACCCTTATACAAATGGAAATTGCCTCCGAGTCCATTGTTTAGAGTGAATCCACATACCAGAACCAAAGTGGTTTTAAAATGGACTACATCTGTTCTTGAATGTTTTATGGAAAAGAATTAGTGAATTTGGTGCTTCCAAAAATTTAAACACTATTTTTTCTATTAAATGGAAAAGGAAAATAAATTATTTTATCAATTACATTTCTCAATTCATTGAAACCTTTAATTGTTTTCTTACCATGACATTGTGGCAGCTCCACTCTTCTTATACAGTCCTCCTGGCCTTCCTAAAATAGACAGAAGACCATCAAAAAATTATTAGCAATATTTTAAACTAATTAAATCAGTAACTTCATTTGTTCTCATACATTATTACCAAAAAAGTTATGCAAAATGACTAGCAGACCACTCCTGCTCTTTTGCAAGTATATAATTTACAAACCCTGCAAGTGCAGAAAGTGCAAGTGTCTTTTTGCCATGATTCGCCATCTGCATAAATTACACCGTTCACAAGGCATTGTGGGTAACATACACAGGTGTCCAGCAAACTAAGTCGCGCCTTCAATTCTGTATTCTGTAGGATTAAAAGTAAAGCAATTTTTACAGCTTGAAATAAAATGAATGCTATTTCCTTTATTAAATTCATTCTTTCTTCTTTTTACTAAGCACAAAAGATTGAAATTCTTTTTCTAGATGAAAGGATTTTCAATCCATTTTATTTTTGAATGAAATTTACCATATTACTCTATAGCCCATCCATAAGGAATTTTAAGCATTTTTGAAATATTATAACTTTGATGTTGCAATGCTGTTCATCTATAATAAAATAATGACAAGAGGCCCATGGGCCACATCGCTCACCTGAGCACATTGGCTAGGAAAAAGCACAACTCAGTTCAGTATTGAAAAGTTTACTTGGGGGAGGGGGGGGGGACTTGAATTTCAAACTACCTGAGGATGCTTCCATATCAGTATAACAAATTACTTTGCTGTTCTTAGGCATTAGATTTTTCCCTGTGTATTCCCTTGTAAAAATTTGATCCCCCATTGTGGCCCCTTCCTATCCCCAGGGGTCATCATTTATACAAATTTGAATCTACACTACCTGAGGATGTTTCCACATCAATAAGACTAAACATTGCTTTGCTTTTCTTGAGAAGATTTTTTTCCTATATATTCCAATGTAAAACTTTGGTCCCCATTTTGGCCCCACCCTACCCCCAAGGGTCATCATTTAAACAAACTTGAATCTCCACTACCTGAGGATGCTTCCATATCAATTAGACTAAACATGGCTTTTCTGTTCTTGAGAAGATTTTTTTCCTACATGTATATATTAATATGTAAAACTTTGATCCCCCGTTGTGGCCCCACCCTACCCCCAGAGGTCATGATTTTAATAAATTTGAATCTACACTACCTGAGTATGCTTCCATATCAAAATGACTAATAATGGGTTTGCTGTTCTTAAGAAGATTTTTAGAGTTTTTTCCTATATATTCCTATGTAAAACTTTGATCCCCCATTGTGGCCCCACTCTACCCCAGGAGTCTTGATTTTAACAAACTTGAATCTACACTACCTGATGATGCTTTCATATAAATATGACTGATCACAGCTTTGTTGTTCTAGAGAAGAGGATTTTTAAAAAAAAATTTCCTATATATTCCTATGTACAATTTTGATCCCCTATTGTGACCCCACACTACCCCTAGAGGTCATGATTTGAACAAATTTGAATCTACACTATGTAATGAAGGTTTCACTTAAGTTTCAACTTTTCTGGCCTAATGGTTCTTGAGAAGAAGATTTTTGAAAGATGACACTAAATTTTCACTAATTCTTTTAAATTATCTCCCCTTGAAAGAGGGGATGGCCCAATATTTAAACAAACTTGAATCCCCTTCACCCAATGATGCTTTGTGGCAAGTTTGGTCAAAATTGGCCCAGTGGTTCTTGAGAAGAAGTTGAAAATGTGAAAAGTTTACAGATGGACAGACAGCTAGACAGACAGACGGACCCTGGACAAAATGTGATCATAAAAGCTCACTTGAGCTTTCAGCTCAGGTGAGCTAAAAATGTAAGATCGTTTACGGTCTATGTATAAGATGTACCTCTGACTGAAGGGTATTAACTACTGATGTTAGATGAGAGAGTCTTCTCTGTAAGGCCCGTAACTCTTCTGATGTTGTCTGTGCAGAAATTTTACCGGCATCTCTTTGGTATGTAGATAATGCTGTAAGTAATAGTAAAAATTAACAACAGAGTATCAATTTATCAAAATGATAAGGAGGACTCTTGAACTAAAATGAAACTTATTGGCAATTATAGATACAGCTGTTATGTATAAGTTTTTGTGATGTAATAGGGATAAGATTTCAGTTGATACTTTTCAAACAGAAAACTGAACTCCTGTCCATTTCAAAGTAATATAATTAAATTATATAATCATGTGGTATTCATATATAAACATGCATACACACTTTTCCAAGAACCACAATAACAAAGCAAGAAAAAAGTCAAAAATCATTTATACAAAACACCAGTTTTTAATAAAATAACACAAGCATCACTCTGTGTTGTTCCAAATGCAGATTACATAATTTGTTAACAATATATGTAAATCTCTCTAAATTTCTAAATACTAGCTCCTCTTACCTTTACTAAAACATGTAGATGGAATGTTGTTTATATAACTGTATACTTTTGCTTCAAAAAGTAAGCCCTGAAAAATTGATTACACAATATTAATATTACGATAAAATTATTCAGCAAAACTGACTTGCAATCAAATCAAGCAAAATTAATCTAAGCATGAATTGATTAATAGTCCAGTCCAAAGTCCTGAATTTTAACTATTTACTAAAGGACAAGTATTATTTCAAATTTGCAATATATTACATATGACCACTTTTAAAAGATCTATGGTACATTAATGACAATTGTAATATAAACATGATAAATAACAGTTCATCAAACTTTCAGCAGGAGGAAGCATAACTTATACTTAAACAACATCACAATTTTACTATATTTTATGATCTGATCATCATTTAAAAAAAAAATAATTGTGATTAGAAGTTTTTTTTAAAACCTTTTGTAAACTTCATAACCAACAGAAGAAATTACTTAGAACATCACAATTTTACCATATTTTATGATCATAACATGAAATAAACACTATCAGGATTATTTTTTTAAATAACTTTTTTAAGCAACCAAACCAACCAAAATTACTCAGAAGTTATTACTCAAGATATTACTAGATCCCCTGTGCCTTATGTGCTAAGACCATGGATTAGATCATGCAACTGCAATGAAAACTCTTATCATCACTTTTTTTCATGGTTGAAATTAGCAATATAAATATGGCCTGGTTTTTCTATCATCATCTCATCAAGTATATCAACAGCTGAACCAAAAAAACCAGCATCACAAAATTTAAAGGATCAAACCCGTCTGTATTATATCTGATTAACAGGCCCTCCCCAATGTAGGAACCTCCGGGATTTCTAGGGAGCACCTGTCACTAAAAATACCCTACAACTGCCTCTGAGAATACAACATTTTTATTGCTCATAAAGATTGTGTTATTTGATTAGGAAATTTTGTATGAGATTATCAAATTTTATTTTCACTTTTTATGTCCTCTATTTTCTAGATGTGTATACTAATCCATAATATTGGGACTTTACTGGGACAATGTTCCTGCATGACCACATGAGATTAAATTTTTTCTTGCAGTAGAGCATACTTAATGTTACTTTTAAATTGTACAACTTCAAAGATACCCTGCCCTAGTTTTACATTTTATAAAGCAAACATATGCAAGGTCATGAATTTAGAATTTTCTTTTAAATAGTTTTTTGGCATTACAAAGGGTATCATTTTAAAATTGTTTCCAAAACATAAAATTTTAAACCAGCTGAAGGCACGTATGGCACAAAGAGCAAGAAAAAGATGTTTCACAGAAATTACATCTGCAAAACCTTATTGCACTTTTTCTGGAAAAAGAGTATGATTTCAAAAGGTTCTCATTAAAGTTTGAAAGGAAAGCACCTCTGACACCTGTAGGTAATGACTCAGAGAAATAAAACTTTTAGTGCAAATCCGGTCACAATACTATGATAAATCATTTTAATGATAATAATTTCTACTTAATAAAAGAGTCCATGACATCAGATCTACCTATATCATAAACACCTATAGTTCTCCTTAGCTTTGATCTATTTCTCTGACTTCATTCTTCAGATACGGGAATTTCACTTCAGATTGTTATCCTGATTGCTATCTCATTATCTCACCTGAGATATTAAGTTACAATCAAAATTGGAGTATAGAATTTTTTTTTACAGTTGAATAAGAGAAGCCATCACAGACTGCTGATAGAAAATAATGAACACTTAACATTTTTAGGGGGTATTGTGATTCTCTCTCATATATATAGATGTCATTCATGAGGTGCAAATTAAAACTCTGGTTCATAAGGCAAACTTTCACACCTAGGCACTATATTACCCTTTAGAGACCTAAAACTTTTATTCCAAAAAATAGTTTTTGAAATTTACAACTGATTTATGATTAAGATCTTGTTTGGAGTGCACTAGTTAATAAAAGAACTGAGCTACTAGTGCTTCTTGTTTGATGAAAATGAATGATTTACAACTAATCTTAATAAAAGATGTGGTTTGATTATTACAGTGTACATACATTCAATTAAATAAGAGCTCTGCACTCTGTTATTACAATCTGTTGTTTTTCTACATCGTTCAAAAAAAGTTCATTTACTTGCACTGGAGTTGCTGATATCTCTCAGCTTACAAACTGTATAGAAGTACTTCTACAGCTTGTCTGCTAGGAGGTCAGTAATTTCAAAATGTAGCTTCAACTTTGATATTTACATATCTTCACTGGCACAAATACAAGATTCAAGTATTATAAATTAAAAGGCTGATATTTAAAACTGAAGTGCTATATTAAAGAGCAATAGTGGTTAATGAAGCAACAATGAATCAAAAGAAATTCTTTTAAGAAAAAGTTGTTTTGTGATATTATGGTTAGCAAGTATCTAAGTTTGGGGAACATGATTAAAATAGTGTGAAAATTAAAGCAACAACATGATATCAAATCCACACTAATATTCCATTCCACCCTTGGACAGGTCCTCACTAAAAGTTCACTTTAACCTACCCACTAGGACTTCAAAGTGACCCTTAATGTCAGACTGGACTGAATCTCAAAATTTTAAACAAACATTGATCTGTTGATCCCAGTAATCAGAGATAAGTCTTATTATCATTTGATCATTAAATAGCCTAAGCTGGGATCTGACAGTGGGCTGAGAGAGGTTTGAAGTGGAGGGCCACAGACAAAGACGCTGTGTATTGATTATGTTGTTATTAAATCAAAAAACTTCCAATAGGAATGATCTTATTTAATCTATATGACCCATATATAACAAATCAGGTGTCAATCCTACTGTCAGATTTTAACATTTCTCTCTATTGATATCCTAGAACAAGTGGAACTTTAAGTCTTTTGAAGATTACATGTAGCAATTAGGGAAATCCTTTAATGCATGTAAATATGAATATGTCAAAGATGCAAAAACTCATGTGAAAATATTTTGATAGTACAAATTTTTCACAATAGTCGATTGAAAACAATATTTTTAAAAACAATTATTGTTAATGGCTTTACATCTACAGTAAACTGACAAACAATTCACACAAAAAAGCTGCACAGGACCAGTTTTGATCAAGATAAAAACCTAGTAAACTAATGTACCTCCTATATTACACATATATATGCTCAAATGACACTGTTATACCTTTAAAAATTGTTTCCTGCATAAATCTATACTAAAAAAGTCTTAATTCCTAATATTTTACCGAGTGGTCCAAAAATCTGATTGTAACAGGAAAGGAGAACAAGAGGCCCATGGGCCTCAACACTCACCTTAGTAACTATGGCCCTTCTTCTTTTTCATCAGCAGATTCTTTTTCCTAGATAAATTCCTACATAAAACTTTGATTGCCCATTGTGGCCTCACTCAACCACCCAAGGGTCATTATTTGAAGAAACTTAAATATATACCTACACACCATAATCATGCCTTTGCTGTTCTTGAGAATTTAAAAAAAAAAAAAAAAAAGATTTTCCCTTTGTTTTTCCCATGTTAAACTTTGATTGCTCATTGTGGCCCCATTCTACCCCTGGAGGTCATGATTTGAACAAAATTAAATCTAAACTATCTGAGGATACTTCCATACAAATATGACTAATCATGACTTTGCCGTTTCTAAGAAAAAAGAATTTTAAAGAAATTTTCCATGTATTCCTATGTAAAACTTTGATCTCCCATATTGCCGCACCCTACCCCCCAGGTCCATAATTTGAACAAACTTGAACAGACGCTACCTGTGGATGATTCCATATAAATATGACTAATCATGGTTTTGTTGTTTTTGAGAAACAGATTTTTCCTACCTTTTCCTATGTAAAACTTTGATCACCCATTGTAGGCCCATTCTACCCCCAGGTGCATGATTTGAACAAACTTGAATCAACACTACCTGAGGATATTTCCATATTTTAAGTGTGACTAATCATGACTTTGCTGTTCTTGTAAAAAGATTTTTTTAAAGATATTTCCTATATATATATATATATATATATATATATATATATATATATATATATATATATTAAAGATATTTCCTATATATATATATATATATATATATATATATATATATATATATATATATATATATATACCAATGTAAAACTTTAATCGCCCATAGTGGCCTCACCTTACCCTCTGGGGTCACGATTAGGATGAAATCAAATCTACACAAAATAATGTTAAGAAGCTTTCAAATAAGTTTCATTATTCTGGCCAAGTGGTTCTTGAGAAGGAGATATTTAAATGACCCCACTCAATTTTTACTTTTTCTTCATTATCTCCCCTTGTAAAAAATGTGTGGCCCTTCTTTTGAACAAAATCTGAATCCCCTTCACCCAAGGATACTCTGTTCCAAGTTTGGTTGAAATTGGATCAGTGGTTCTGGAGAAGAAGATGAAATCATAAAAAGTAAACGATGCCAATGACTACAGATAACAGACAAATTTTGATCGGAAAAAACTCACTTGGGTCTTTGGCTCAGGTGAGCTAAAAATAAGACAGATTAGATCAGAATTTGAACATGGGCCCCCTGAATCTCCAGTCAGGTGGTCTAGCAGTTGAGCTATCTGGTGATCAAACCCTCTTTGACAGCCACAATATGTTGGACTGCTGGGTCAGGGTGAGATATTGGACCAGTAGATAAGATATTGGACAGCTATAACCTTTTTTTTTTTACATCACAATGTAGGGGGGATGAGCCATACATTATTTCCATTTGTTGATGATTGCCAATTCCAGAATTTACCAAGTAAAATCCGCAGTGCTAGTAAACAAAATTTACATCATGGAAAACAGCATAAGATGCGTCTTTATAAAAGTAAAAGGTGTAGCCTAACAAAACATTTATTGATTGTGTTCTTGGGCAAAATGCATTTTGCCATTCTCTCAAACCAGTTTGCCTGGTTCTTGGGTCCAACAAGATCCATGTTGCAGGGTTCGACACTAACGGTGGACTGGCGGCCCGAGTCCACCAAAAAATTGGAAGGTCCACCAAATGTTCTGGTCTAGGTGGACAGTCGGTACACTTAAAATTTAAACACCGTATTAAAAAAACACTGTAAAATTCCGTTTTTTCTAAAAATCGACATCCGTAAATCAAACGATTAATTCATCCATACTTGTTACAAGAAATAAAATATGGTAATATTTGTTTTAATCAGGGGAACCTAGCGACTAATTATATATTTTACATGTAATACTGATGACTACAATAACAGTAAGATTGAGACGCTAGAACATTCAACACGGACCTTGAAAAAGAAGCAAGTAAAATTTGTGCCAAATTAGTCAGTCCTTTGTTTGTTTAATACACAGAAAGGTGTGAAAATGTACACTGGGTAACAGGAAATCACTTCACACCTGAACGCACACTGATGGGCAGGTTTGGAGATAATTAGAATTGATTGACAACTGCATTTATGCATTGTTTATTTTTTAGATCTTCAAACAGGTGTGATTTATATTTTATGAATACATTACATGTATCTTCAGTTCCTGTTTTTTTTTTCTGCTATACATTAATATATCACATAAAAGAATCATATGATCGCAGTTTATTTGAATGAATAATAATTAAAAATAATAATAATAATAATAAATAAATACATATACTTTTGTCAGTTTTGCATCGTAGTAAAAAAAAAAATTTGTCATAGATATACATGAAAAATTCACTTGTTAAATATATGAACAATTGGGATTTTAAATTTTATCTACCGTTGGAAGCGAAATAAATGCAGGTTTTTACCATTGTTTGAAGATATAGATTGTGTTCTTTTTTTAATTATTGAAAATATGTTTAACAATACTGCTGAAAACTCCTGACTAATTGATTTGTTTCTGTTGACTGGTTAACTTATACTTTATTAGTCTGACTGGACATGGTAGTCACAGGTACATAAGTTAGTTTCAGCCTTGTGTAATGAATTCATTCATTAATTCAAACATTTATGAAGGTCCACCAGAATTTGAGAAGGTCCACCAATAATTTTTGACTAGTGGACCTGTGGTCCACCAAGGTAAAAAAGTTAGTGTCGAATTCAGGCTGCTGTGTTGCCCTAAAACCCAGTCAATAAATGTACAATATGCGACTGTCCTGATAAAGATATTGTAATGCATTGCAGGTGCCCCTTGTCCTTCTTTGATGAACATACAAGTTAAACCTATTGCCTTCTTATTTCATCCTCATTATTCCACTTTACCTTAAACATACACATCCCTCATCCCTATGTGCTAGGCATCCTCCAAACACTTATCTAAATATGAATAGAGCAGCATTACATATGTATACATGTACTTACTATAATTTTCTCTTTACTTTTGAAATCCTGTAGACCAATTTTTGAGGATCTTGGGATAGGTGCTACCTTTTGTCGTAATTTGACCGATTTGGACGGATGACAATCTAGCTGTATAGTCACAACATTATTTTTAATCTGAATTATTGCTCCTGATATGGATTTTAATGAAGAATCAAATGATACAAAACTCCGTTGAAATGAAGTCACTCCCTGATATCGAATAATAACTTTTCCTTTTTGAAAATCTATTAATGCTTCAAAATATGGCAGAGGTTTCCGTCTGTGATAAATTGAAAATATTGGAATAGGTCTAGTCTGTGGTATAATTTGTCCAGAAAAATAAAATGTTAATTTCCCACGATATTTTTTCCAAAATCTTTTAAACTTAAAATTGGGTAAAGTCCTCGGATTCCACTTGGAGGTGATTCTATAGCCTTTAGGGTCAACTTTCTCTATTCCCAGAGATTTTGCAGCTTTGTCATACAGTGATGCCACTAAATCTACCTCTGAAAAAAGAAGAGTAAGAAATATATATCAAATATGTACATGTAACATTAAAGTTGTAGAATCTAAGTATTCTTTGACAAATCATCAACTAAAAACAAGATGTGTTTGTGAAACACTGATGCCCCTGTATGGCAGCTTATGTTGAAGGTTAAAGTTTCTCAAATGCAAGTCAAAATCCAGGCCAAAAGATAAAAAATGTTGATACCCAAAGAAAGATCTTGTCTCGAGGAAAACACCTGTGAAATTTGAAAGACCTAGATACAACTGTTCAAAAGTTATGGTGAAGGTTAAAGTTTTTTAAATAAAAGTCAAACGTCAAGGTCAAGGTCAAAGTGGTTGGTATCCAAAGGAAGATCTTGTCATAAGGATTACATATGTGAAGTATGAAAGCCCTAGCACCAACCATTCAAAAGTTATGGCAAAGGTTAAAGTTTTTCAAAAGTAGGTCAAAGTCCAAGGTCAAGGTCAAAAGGTCAAAGTTGTTGGTATCCAAAAGAAGGCCTTGTCACAAAGAATACACATGTGAAGTTTGAAACCCCAAGCTCCAACTGTTCAGAAGTTATGGCCAAGGTTAAAGTCTCATAAAATTTTGCAAAAGTTGGTCAAACTCCAAGGTCAAGGTCAAAAGGTCAAATATGATGGTACCCAAAGAAAGGTCTTGTCACAAGGAATACACATGTGAAATATGAAAGTCATAGCTCCAACCAATCAAAAGTTATGGGCAAGGTTAAAGTTGAAAACAGACAGACAGACAAACAGACAAACAAACAGACAAACAGACAGACAGGACAAAAACAATATACCCCCGGGATCCTTCGATCCGGGGGCATAAAAAGCCGAAGAAATATAGAGCTTGTATTTTAATCTACTGATATCAAAAAAGTCTTTGCATTGCTTCTGTGTGCAATACAGCTTAATCATTAGACGAGAACACAAACATTTTTCTGCTTATGATTTAAATATGCTATGCACGCGGTCACAAATTTTTATGAAAATTTGTCACAAGGTACTTACTGTAAATCTTTTTAAGACAAAGAATGGCAATCCAAGAAATCTGCATAGATTGAACAGAAATTGTGATTCTGCACAATTATAACCCCAAGAAAAAACAGTACCTTTACAGTATTCCATTATGTAATTTTATGTACATAATTATGTACTGGTATCCTTTCTGCTGGGGGGGGGGGGGGGGGGACAAGGGGGCAGGAATATTTTCACAGTAATGCATTCTTGGAATTGCATGTAGTAATCTTATACTTGTTAATTTCAATCTATTTAGGGTGTTATCAATTAATTTCCTGAAGATTGTTGTTTGCAGTTCAGAAGGAATGTCACTCCAGGAGTACAATTCCTGACTCAATAGTGTGTAACAAATAGGATCATGAGAATTATAAAAAGGTGGTTGTGAAATACTATACCTCTAGAAGTACATGTAACTGTAACAAACCTCATCTCAACTTTTACAGGACTTGAAGCCACAGTAAAATGGCACCTCACATGCCATAGACATCTAATATTGCCCAAACATTATAACCACGATAAACTATGAGACATGTGCAAGATATATGTTCTCATGTGTTATATGTATCTCATGTTGTCTAAAAATTACAGTAAAAAAAAATTAAGATGATCGAGGAAAGAGACAAATGAAAAAATCATAAACAATTCAAAACACCCCAATTCACTCATCTTGGGCCAGGGGCACTTTGACAATGTGTAGAGCAACTATGATACACACATCTGCTTGTACTACATTAAAAGACCACCAGCATACCTTAGAGGTTAATTCAAATGTATTTAAAGACCTTCCTAGTAAGATATGGTATACATCTGTCTAGCAAGAGCTTTGATCACAACATGGGACCTATCCTTAAGAGGATTCTACAGTACTTAACATGAAGTGAGGGCATGACATTAAAGCTTATTAACAACCTTAAAAAATCTTAGGAGGATCTTTGGATATTGAAAACACAACTTATGTATTCCCTACTGTCAGGGGCTTCTTATCCATTGCTCACTAACTCCCCCCCCCCCCCCCCAAAAAAAATAGTTAAACCCACCTCTTACATGTCATAGACTTAAATACATGCAATACACTCTTTGTGAAACATACACCATAAAATTCAGCTGAAATGTTCTGCTTTACATATCACCATTGTAAAAAAATTTAATGGAAGAAATTCTTAAAGGGTTCTTCTATAATTTCTAACAAACAATTTATCACTAATATCAAGCATTTTAGCCATCTGGAAACTGTAGAATGTTTAAGGTGATAGCTGATTATGATATTGCCTACACCATGCATCCTTTGATTTTTTGAGCTTGATCCCAAGCACATGCCAATTTCTAGTTTCTGGTGAACATTATTTTGACTGATGAGTCTACAACAGGGTCACAATGTTTCAAAAAGGGAAAAATCGAACCATCACAAGTCACACAATATGGTCAGGATAAATAGCATTCCTTCTATGTTCCATATACTAGTTAAAACTTCAACCCCACTACACAACTCTAAGCATATATTCATGTATAAAACATTTTTACATAACAATACTATGCCTTTGAAAAAAGTAATTGATGATTAATATTCAAATTCTTCAAGTTATCACCATACCTGAAAATTTGAAAAGAAACAAGTTGGACCAGATCCCTGGTTGCAAAGTTGAGATAAAGAATAAAAATATCAAAAACACTCCTCTGAAGTATTCAAATAATATGCAGGGGGAAAAAAATTAACATACATGCATACTGTAAAATCTCTCATTTTTGTGCCCGAATGTGGGGTCAAATTTCCATGGTTTCAGGAAAAAAATCTCGGTTTGAGGATGGTCAGGTTGTAGCAAATAGTCGGCCTTGTAGTCCTAAACACCAAAGTCAAGACGTTATCATCTGACGCGCATCATCAAGACTTGGATTATTTAACATAACAAATAAAGATTTTTCAAGTTAAATTCATTAAATAAAGGTTTAAAATAGATGTAAATAACCGAACCGAAAAACCCAAAACCAAACTGAAAAACCCAAAACCAAACCGAAAAACCCAAAACCACACTGAAAATTTACAGAACCCGAAAAATTATGGAACCATGACCGCCCTGGTAGCCTGATTCAACATGATATTGATTCGGACCATTAGACTAGCATTAATTTTGCACTCTTTTTTTAAAAAAAAAATTTTAATTTTATTAAAATCTGAGGTAGCAAAAATTTTGTGTTTGATATAATTCCTCCCTTTTGTATTTCATATTGTAGCAGTGGTCAAAAAGCAGAAGACATATTTTAATAGATCATGATAAGCCTTTGTGCTCAACCCTAACCCCAGAGGCCATGATTTGAACAAACTGTCTTTTATGATCAACTTGAGTTCAAGTAACGTTAGTTCTTGAGAGGAAGAAACCGAGTCCGTCAACCAAGGCCAAGGGCGCTTTGAGACAGGTTTGGTTGATATTAGCGCTGTGCTTCTGGAGAGATGAACTGCAAGACCACTGAGCCAATTCAAAATGTGAAGTTATAGCAGACGACACCAACGAAGTGGAACGGACGCACACCTTTGGCTAACGTGCCCTTTGGGCTAAAATCACGGGCACTTGAAGTTATGTAAATATTGAGAATGTGCAAGTATAAAAAAGGAAGTTCTTTTTTTTATACATGCACATAGGCCTACTCAATAAGTACATTAAGGTCAAGATCTAGTAAATGAAAGGTGCCTACAGATTTCTCAAATTTGAGAAACAAGTTCTTACAATGATCCTTTACAAATATAGCTTGGAGAAATTAGGTGTATCGGGGCACAATTTTTAGGTAAACTCAACGAAAAAAAGATACTTTAAACTGTTATTTTCAATGAAAAATGAAGTAACTCAGGTATAAATATGGGAGTTTTTTCCTTCTCAGAAAAAGAAAATGTATCAATATTGCCTACAATTCTCAGAAAAACAGTTTTTTCATATCTTCTTCAAAATGATATTAATTTGAATATAGTCATCGGGGTTGATTTTGACATGATTTTAAATTGAATTCCATGAAAATTTTTCATTTTCTACATAATTGTATAATAGCTGTAAAGTACAGGAAAAATTAATCTAGCACCAAACAGACAGTCTAAACTCATTTACTAGATCTTGACCTTAACTTCCAGTGCCCGTGGCTAAAATCTTTTTAAATCAATAGCCTAAAGGTATATCCAAACCTCTTTTTTTTCAGCAGCGGGAAAATGATCGCTTAATATTCATCATTCCGATCCCGATTCAATTTAAGCATTATGTCACCAAGTGGAGTGGAATAAGAAAGTCAGTTAGAGTAGCTGTAGAGCGAGAAATAGTGAGAACTGAAGGATGGGCGAGGTAACCCCAATAAGCCGCTACAACATTGAATGAAAAATAACCCGGATTTAAAAAAAAAATGGAAAAGATGGGTCAGGGTTGCACGTACATAAATGATTTCTTTGTAAAGATTCAAAGATTTTTCTTGTGTTCCAGTGAACTTCTACTTTTTCGTTCAGTAGTCAAAGCTGCAGAAAGTCTCTGTATCTTATCTTAATTTGAACGGAATTTCACAACCAGAGACAACAGTAATGAAAAGCAGGTGCTCGTGTGCTTAATATTACTGACACTGATTAGCGGATCATAGGAAATTTTCTTTTGTCCTTAAACTTGGGTCATATCAAATTTACATCATGCCTTATTGCAATGTGTGCACATTATCTTTGTGTGATAATACTAGTAGTTTTATATTAAGTAACTTCACATTAGAAAATCATTAAAACTGCACAAAATCAGATAATCGCATAATAATATTTACCTAGTAATCAATATAAGAACGTTTTCATACATAAATCACTTTGCGTTTTTATTTTACTAGTGCATAAAATATCTACATTCAGGCGCGGATCCAGAAATTTTTTTCCAGGAGAAGGGGGGGGGGGGGGCACCCCAGTCAAAAATTGTCCAACTCAGAAATTTATTGCTTGAGCAAAAAAACAAAACAAAAAAAAACAAAA